ACACACACACACACACACACACACACACACACACACACACACACACACACACACACACACACACACACACACACACACACACACACACACACACCATCTGCTGCTACAGCACTCAGTCTGAAAGCAATTGAATTCCTCCCAAAGGTTTTAGTCTCAAGTAGCCTTCTGTTTCTACCAGTCTGGGGAAGAGTGTGTGTGCATTTATGAGCGTGTGTGTGTGTGTGCATGTGACCATGACCTTGGCTGCCTCTCAGGAGGACGATGGAGGTGTTTATTGGTGAGATAGGGAGTTGTGTTTAGTGGAGGAAGAGGTTGATGTTAAGAAAAGGGCAATATCTGGTAGCGCATGGTGTGAATCACGACAAATAATGTGCTGCGATCGAATGTGACTCAACATCTGTTTAATGGTGTCAACTGTAGCTGGGGGGGGTTCAACCCAACTGCTCCTAAAACTAGTCTAACTCGGACGCAGATTGAACAAATGTGATGTTGGCATGTTCTGTGTGGGAAGAGGAGTGTTTGGATGATGGGTTTCTAGTTATAATAATAATAATAATAATAATAATAATAATACATTAACAAAGCACTTTAGGTGCTCAAAGCGCTTAGAAGCAAGTAAAACAAAATAACAACAAAAGTAGAAAGTGCTAAGCTATGTGGAATAAGGGCAAGGGTTTAGTGGATTAGGAGTTGAAGGCAAGAGGGAAAAGGTGAGTTTTGAGGGATTGTTTGAATGATGTGAGAGTGTTGGCGGATCTGACGTGGCTGGGGAGGGGGTTCCAGGGGGGGGCTGCAGCGAAGGCCCTATCACCCCAGGTCCGGAGCTTCATCCTGATGGGCTGCAGTAGGTTAGCTTCAGCAGACCTGAGGCGACGGGTGGGGGTGTGTCGTTGGATGAGGTCACAGAGGTAGGGGGGGGGGGGCAAGGTTGTTGAGGGCTTTGAAAGTGAAAAGTAATATTTTAAAGTCAATGCTGTGTTTGATGGGGAGCCAGTGGAGGTCATGGAGGATAGGGGTGGTCGGAGCGTCGGGTGGAGGTGAGCAAGCGGGCAGCTGAGTTTTAGTATGAATGCAGGTGATCCAAAAAAGTGTGCTGTTGCAGTAATCCAGTTGTCCATTTTAAATAACCTAAGTATACTTTAACCATGGTTGCTTTCTGTCTTTGTTCAGGTACTGGCTTTTCTCTGACGTTGTTCCTGGTCTGTACATTGAGAAGGGCTGGGTGCACGAAAGCATCGACTACAGCTTCACCCCCCCACCCGAGGACAAAGCGGCTGAAGCTGCTGAGCCCGCAGAAGCTGCGGAGGTAGAAGAGGAGGAGGACGGAGAGACGGCTTCCAATCAAGATTCACAGGGTACAGTGTCAACATGTTTGAGAAATAAATGAATACTTACTAAAATATTGGTATTGGTCAAATATTCCTCTGCAACTCCTCTTTTTTTCTTTTTTAAAATCTTTAACGATGAATGACTGTTTATGTTGTAGGAGCTGAAAAGGATGATGGCAGCATCGATGGTGCTATTAGTGAGGGAGCCCAGCAGGGGGCAACAGCAGACGTCTGTATAGAAACTACTATTCCCAACCAGGGGCAGAACCTCTGGTAAGAGCTTGGTCTTTGCCGATCCTTTTCTCCTTCATTTAATTATTTAAATCTGTTCCTTTTTTACACAACCGTTCCTTCAATTCTTCTCCACCTCTGCATTCAGGTTTGTGTGTGAAAACCCAGCCGAGTTGGAGGAACTGGTGGAAAGTCTTCATCCTCAGGGTGTTCGAGAGAGCGGACTGAAGGCCAAGATACAAAACAGGTGCATGGACTCATTATAAGAGATAACTACTTTAACAAACATCCAGTCCCAATGCTCCGCTAACGCATTAGCTTGTTTTATCAGCGTTTAGGGATGTACTGGAGTGATCCAACCGGTGCTTTTCCAAGCTTTTGCTTTCTACTTACTGCTATAAAGAAAAGCCTTTCTTTTGAAATAAGCCTTTTTTGTTGTATCTTTTGGCAGAAATTGAATATATTATTTATAATAATAAGTGATGATGTAAACATGGAGCTTAATCAGAGTTCCCGTTAGAATATCTTTTTGCCGGTCAAAATGTCCGTTAAAGTTTAAATCTTCTGCACAAAATGAGAAAAGTGCCGGTCAAAGGTCTTCTTTCTTATTTATTGAGCTTTCAAACTAATTTATATGATTAGATTTTAAACAAACTAATAATAGTAGATTAACTACATCATTCAAAAGTGAACAGTAACTTATAATAACACGGGAATAATAAACGGAGCGCTCTCTCCCTCTCCTGACAGCCCGTCAGTATCATGCAGCTCGCGGATCAGTAATGAGTGACCCGACAGTAAAACTAAACATATCTATAACTAGTTTAGGTAGTTTGAGAGTTAATTAAAATAGCTACGTGTGATATTCTAACCTGAAGTGTGTGTTTTTGTTCCGCTCACCGCTGCATGTGATCATGGAGAGCTGCGTGTCGACTCGTCAGCAGCAGCTGATCTCGCTCTCCCGTCAGATTAGACTTCACTCGCGTTTATGTCCATATCGATCAGATCTAGCTAGTTTTAGCTAATGATATGACTACCTGCTTATTAAAAGACACCTAAACAATAAGCGTCGCTATGCAACTGGGTGAGGCCACAAAGTATAGCGCAGCATTATGCATTTGTTTACATGCCCACCGGAACCCCGAGGCATTACCAACAGATCAACGCACAATCAACCCATACAGCACATCTCTTTCTCCACATTAAGTGTTAGACATTAGAATTGACTATTCTTGTCTGTCACATACTCTTCTTGTCTGTCACATAAGTGGCACAACTGATGCGGTATTCAGTGTGAGAAAAAGTTTTTAGAGAGTACTTGTCCATGGACAAGTGAGTTTGGCAATTTACTTGTCCGAATACATTTTTCCGAAAAGATCTTTTCCACCTTGGTCCAGAATGGGACCCTTAAATCTACATCATTGGAAAGGCCACGTTAGTAGAAATCTTCCCTTCATATGCACCTAATCAGTTATTTTGTACATTTTCCCACGGTTTTTACGACACCCGGCTAACGTAAGTGGTAGCTGTGTAAGATTTACTGCATCACAACATAGGGTTGTGGGTTATCGGTTTTGGATTTTAACAGGATTTTCCGGTTCTGCTTTT